CCTTTCCGTAGTGTGACTGTGATCGATTCCTGGAAGTGTCGAGGGTTGTACCCTATACGAACATAGCTATCGAATATTGAGGTAAGGATCCGGGTGAAATCTTTGTATACGAGAAGCAGCTTCCACACTCTGTTTGGCAGTTCGTCTGGCCCAGGTGCCTTATCAGGTGGTGCTCGGCGGATGACGTCAGTTACCTCTTGTTCTGATATTGGTGGGAATTGAAGTTGTTGCTTCACTCTGGTTCCGGCGATATCGTCCAGGTCAGCATCCGGGGGCCGCGGGAAGAAGACCTCCCTCAGCACCTAGGCTTTCTCCTCGTTCGACTCTGCCAGCTGGCTATTCATCTTCTTCAGTGCTGGTATGGCGCCGCCGGAGTCACCTCCCCAGTTCCTGGCCCATTTTGATACTCTCCAAAGGCCCCGCGGGCCGTCTTCGACGGTGTCCCTGATCCAGGTGCGGAAACCTTGCTTGAGTGCTTTGCCAATCACTTTGCCCTTCATATTACGTGCTGTTTTGTATTCTTAGTGATCACTCTCGTCCTTACTATCACGCCATCGCCGGAAGAGCCTTCGGGTAGTGTTGATTGCTTCTATACATTCAGGTGTCCACCCTGGGTGAGCCCATGTCGAGGGGCGGGCCCACAGAGTGGAGATCTGTACACCTTATTATATGACGTTGAGCAGATGTTCAACAGCTTCGTCGATTTGCTTTAGCCCTATATTGCTGTCTGATAACCCCCTATTGCCCAGCAGATTTGCTGACACAAATTCCAGGAACTTCTCTATGTTCATTGTCTTCCAGCAGCGCCGGCGAGCTTCCTCCACGCTCTGCGTTCCCAGATCAACCCAGGTAACAATTGGAAGATGATCTGAGTCCGCATGTGTGTCTTCGCTCACTTCGCATGCTATTAGACGCTCACACAGCTTTCGGGACGCCAGGACCAGGTCGATCGTGGTCTGGCTCACCGCGTTTATCCTTGTTGGCACACCTAGCTCCGTCCAGAATTCTAGGTTTGCTGTATCCATTAGTATTAACACATCCTCTGCTTTAGCATCCTCCACTGCGTCGTCGCCTCCCCAAACCGGGTGGTGTAGGTTGAAATCGCCCACAATCATGTACGAGAAGCCTGACTGCTCTCTCGCCGGTTCCACCAAACTCTTGAGGAGATTTAAACCGTCCCCTGTCACCTGATCGTTATATATATTCAAGATCCGCACTTCCCCTACCCCGCTGCGGATCCTCACTTCCTGTAAGTCTCCGGAGTGCGCGTAGTGAGTCCACCCTGCTAATTTCTTCGATATATATATACAAACTCTGGCCCGTTGGCCTATTTCTGTCTCTGCTGGCCATAGCAGCTCGTGTGTCCCCTTGGCGGGGTGGTGCGTGCTATCCTGGAAGGGATTCTTCCATGGTTCCTGGATGGCGATGATATCCGCGGCTAACACTTTTGGATCACGTAGGAACTGCGCCATGACCCCGTCCTTAGATCGATTCACATTGTACTAGAATATGGTGAACTCTTTCATTGAGAGGTGATAGATTTGGTGGGCTTGGCGCTGTGTCGGGTGTTCCGTCGAAGACGTGGTTCAAAGCGGACATCGGTTGTCTCGGTCTCCGTGTGTCGTCGTTTCCGTGGATTATATGAGTTAAAGATCTTATCGCTGATCTCGGTGAGTGCTGAGCTGCCGACTATTGATGGTTTGTAGCTAGCGTCGTGTGCTAGCTCTGAGGTGGGAACGTCCGGCAGGCTAACTGTAGCGTCTGCAGCCCTTTCCGTGAGTTCCACTAACCTCCTTGACTTGCGGGAGCTTACGCTCGCCGTGCTGACTGATTTGGTCTTTGGTTTTAGTTTCTTTGTTGCTTTGGCGGCATGTGTGGATATGGCCGGTTCAAAACTGATCCCTCCTACGTGCAGATATGACTGGCTGACTCCATCCAGTTGGCTTGCCTATATGGCATCCTCTGTTGGATAGATCGAGTCTTCTGCAGTATTCATGGACACTACAGGCTCGCTTATAGCCTACTGCCGCCGCTGGAGGCCGCTCCTAGACACCATGGCCCCTGATTAAGTGCTGGCCCCCTCTTTCCCTGTTTTCGCCCACTAACTAGATTGCAGACTAGTCGAATACCCAATTTGTGCAGCCCTCTCAGTAGTGGTCGAGTCGCTACTCTCGGTGCCGCTGCCCTCGCTTGAAGATGAGTGCCCGGCCGGAGTGCCCCACGAACTGGCTGGTGACGGCTGCATCACCGGAGATGGTGCCTTGGCAGAGAAGTGTGCTAGAACTGGGTGATATCGTGGTCGATATCTCGCCATCTCCTTCATCTTTTCGACCTCTCGCACCCGGTCCGGACAGTCATTAGCCCACGCGGCATATGTGCTCCCGCAATTGGCACACTTGTTTTCCTTCAGCGTACCGTCGGCCTTAGTGCTGCACTTCTGAGACAAGTGCTCGCCGGCACAGTGGACGCAAGTTAGAGACTGATTCGGGCAGGTGGCTCCTATATGACCATATTTTTGACAGTTATGACACTGACGTACCCGGATTGCTCGATCGTACATCATAGCAGTTAAGCAGCTCCCGTCCCAGAAGACCCCTTTGTCGATGGCGGCGTTGGCCGGCAGTGGAGATGTGAATTCAGCCACCAACGACCCCGTCTTGCCCGTGGGCGCCCGAAGCCACGACAGCCGAGTGATTTCCGCCCCCTCTCCCCAGTCCGGGCCGTTGTTCGCGATTAGCTAGCTGATTATCTTGTCCTACACGCCCCGCAATTCCTCCATGCGCGGCGTGTTCACCCCTAGCGAGCGAACATTGATATCGTGTATCACGATACCCTAGGTTGGGAGCAGTACCTCTGCCTTCCTCCCTAGAGAGTGCACCCAGCCCTCTCGGTGCACCCGTAGGATCTCAGCCTCCTTAGCGGTGCGCGCTGTGAAGCGGAGATCACCCGACCTCAACTAGCGAGCCGCCAGGAACCGGACTGAAGCCAGTGGCGCAGAGCCAATGGCCTTAGCTGCACGCTCGCGCAGACGGTTAGCTTTGGCGGTCATCTCGACGGGTGTTTCTCGTCGATAACGGTTTGCCGCCTCGGGGTCGTTGAGCCGTACGGTGATGGCGCGGTCCGCGGCAATATCACTCACCGCCGCCGCCACCGAGGACGTTGAACCATGAGAGGACAGATGGTGCGCTGGCGCTGGTGCCCCTCGTGCGACGTCTGCCCAGCTGCCAGTACTCATCCGGACTGGCAGGTGTCTCTCAGCTGCAGCTCGCACCGCAGTGAGGTCTTTCCGCATCTCCAGCGTCTCCTGACGCAGCTGTGAAAACTCTGCACGCCAATCGGCGCCCAGGGGGTTCTTCAGGAGGTCCCCAGTGAGCTCCTCGAGCAATTTGAGGTGTTGTAGCACCTGGGTGGGTACACGATGCCCAGCTTGCTTGTCAATGTATGATAACAACTGCTTGGTGTCGTGATTGGCGTTCAGAAGTCTGGCAGTGGTGTCGGCGGGTGCCGTGCGGCCCGTCCCTGAGACCAGGGTTGGCCACGCGGACGCCGGCACTGGCATACTGACACCCTCAAGTTTGGGGTCAAATTGTAGCGCCGGAAGTAATTGAAAACTTCCCGTTTACGATACGTTGCCAAATGGCGTGGTTGTGGAGATATTCCAAGAATTCGTTATGCCAAGAGATATATGTTTTTTTTGACAGAAATATGGCTGTACGATAATGTATGGTATGGCACGAAGATATTCAATTCTCTGGATGACCAAAACTGACAAAATCCACTATTTAAACAATCTGTGTGGACATGATGGCTAACTAGTAATAAGCACTTTTGTATGCCATTTACCATGGCATCGGTCCGGGGAAAGTCCGGGTATTGTGCTCTGTTTCAACTAGGTATTGCAACCTTGGCTTTTGACACAATGCTTACAATAAATTGGCTAATTTTGCGTGGATATGAATGATAGATGCAGATCCTATAAGACATTGCGGTTGAGTGAATTTGAACTACTGGTAGCAAGTGGAAGGCATAAATGTATCGTAGGTGACAGAAGTACTACCAGAACTAGAGCTCTATAAAGATTAGGTGATACATGAACCCCGCAAGGCAATCAAGGCGGAATTTCCCGTTCTAAACAGTCTGAGCAGCTCCGTCAGCTTCACCGCTGCGGACATTCTTTTCCTTCGCCTTGATGGCACCCAACACGGTTTCAAAAGAAAGGCAATGCTCAGCCACAACGAAGACGGTCTGTTCTTCAAGGTTGATCTCAAGCTTCTTCACTCCTGCGCCACGCAATATCCAGAAAATATTAAAAAATTGAGCAGTATAATGAAAAGGCTGGGTTACGAACCGCTGAGTGCGTTGAGGGCTTCCTGGACGGCAGAAACACAGCCACCGCACGCCATCTGGACGTTGAACTTGTACTCGTGATCCGGAGAAGTGCTGCAGCACATTTTGAAGTTGATAAATTGAATGAGGACAAGGGAGCGAAGATGGAGAGAAGAAAAAAGTAGAACAACGATAGCGAGTGAGTCTGGGAGAAGAGTTGAAATCAAGGAAATTACGAGGACATTGACCTCCCTTTTATGTTTCTCGAGATATCTAGCCCCCCTGAGTTTTCCTATGTCATGGCATTCTATTCAGTCTGACTGGATCGTGGAGCCGACCCGTTGCGCGAATTGTGCGTTTCTCGTACCAACCACAACCACCAACTCGGACGCTACTTAACTAGACTCGGGTTGGGCTTTTATCATTTCATGCACTTCCATCACATACCATCTCGCTACAATTTCTCCCACATGGTGTATAGAACAGGGCTTCTACTTCATTCTAGGCTGATGGCGCGAGCGACCTCTTCTGGCTTTCGTCGCGCCTTCTCGAGCTCGTCAGCCGTCCAGTCCTGTTGTTCGGGCAAGAAGTCAGCGTTAAAAAATCCTGATTCTATAGCTGACAGCAATGGGCCGGCAATCAGAGCTTCTCAGCCAATCCATTCAGCTTGGAAAATGGGGGTTTGGACTAATAGGCCGGCGTGGAAGCGTGCCGGTCTCAATACTCTGCGCTGTCTCATGGGCTGCACCGTCGGCGATTTCTCTGCCCTATGGATGCTTCAGTCCTACTGCCCAGAGCTCGGCATGGGAAATATCATGATGGCCTCCAGTGAGTTCATTCCATGGCCCATTAAGCGGTGAAAGACACGTGTAGCTAATGATTGGAAATGCAGTGGCAAGCGGCATCACGACTTCAATCATACTCGAAACAATTCTTCTTCGGCGCGGTGCCGACCAGCTTTCGTGGCCCATGGCGGCACGCACTGCGATGGGCATGAGTATGACTTCCATGGTGGCTATGGAGTTGGCCGAGAACATGGTGGACTATCATTTGACGGGGGTCAGGTCAACTTCGAGGATCCGCAGTTTTGGATAGCGGCGGGTTTATCGATCGGAGCCGGGTTTCTAGCCCCATTACCGTACAGCTATTTACGTCTGCGAAAGTACGGACGGGCGTGTCATTGAGCCTTCAGAATGAATGAATACAATTTTATTTTCTTTCTCGCCGATTGTTTGCCACGAGAAAAAAAGTACAATGGCAATCGAAATTCCGTAGCTGAACGCCTAAACTACTTCGGAGATCAGTCCTTCCTATCCAAGTAAATCAATTGTCCGTACCCAGCTATTCATGTGATTTGTCGAGTCCCCTAGCTACTCCAGGAATTTCAACAAGTATCGTATGATCAGAAATTAAGACCCACTTTCTATCACGGTGGGTCTCTGAACTGTATCTGTAATTTCTTGGCGATGACACCATGCCTCGGACATTCTGTCAGGATCTCGGACCTTTCGCCTTCCCGATATAGTAATGCTTTTCCCGTGCTCCGGGGCAATGGAGGATTTGGTCATATATGGCCATATGTGAAAATTCCGCACAACTGGTCTACTCGTGCACTGTTTTCGATTTCCCGTCATTCTTTCAAACATCATTCGCCAAAGATGGCTTTCAAGATCACCCGAATCCAACGCCTGAGCGCGGTTATACTCATTTCTATGTCATTCTTTATCGCGGAAATAGCAGGTAATCAAGAGTTAAGATTAAACTCGCTCCAATTCTGGAATTTTATTGTGTAGAAAACAGAGGTCTAACATAACCTGGTCTAGTTGGCTTCTACACGGGCTCGCTGGCCCTTATGGCTGATGCATTTCATTATGTATGTGCGCCTTGACTTGGACGATGAAAACAAACTAATTACTATTTCTAGTTGAGTGATATTTTTGGCTTTGTTATTGCTCTCATTGCTGCTATCGTAGGTTTTGTTCGATGGCATATGATCCGCCCTCAGTTGTGCTGACAATCAAAAGGTCTCAGAGAAAGCTACAGCACCTCCTTCTTTAACATTTGGCTGGCAACGAGCGCAATTACTAGGTGCTTTCTTCAACGGCGTTTTACTGCTTGGTCTGGGAATCAGCATTTTCCTGCAGTCTATCGAGCGGTTTATCAGTTTGGAGCGTGTGTATCCGCGAGCAGACTTGGGCCGATATATGTGGCTAACTCCTCTGTGCTGTCTAGGAGTTGATGATCCAAAACTGGTTGTGATTATTGGCTGTGTAGGATTCGGCCTCAACTTGATTAGTTTAACTTTCTTGCACGGTAAAGCGTCTTCCCACATATCATCCCCAAGGGCATGAATTTGACGAAGGCTTCACAGAACATGACCACGACCGCGACCATGGAGGTGACGAACATGATCATGGACACACCCACGGGCAAGATCATGGTCATGATCATCATGAACATGAACATGAGCGTGGGGATCATGACAGTGATGGTCACAATGATCACAATGACTCTCAAGTGGCCCGAGAGCACGCTGCCCTTATCAACGAGAAGGTCAGTCTCTCCGATATATTATTCTTTAATCTGTTTTCTCATCGCGATATTTCTAGCACATCACCCACAAACACCACATGAATGCCGCATCCTGGAAGCCACGAAAGAACTTTGATCTTGCTCTTATGGGTGTCTTTATTCATATCATGGGCGACTGTGCCAACAACGTCGGTGTAATCATTTCAGGACTAGTCATTTGGCTGGCCAACTACAGTGGTCGGTATTATGCGGACCCTGCCGTCGGTATGGCTATCGCGATCATGATCTTTGCCTCCTCTTTGCCATTAGGTGAGCCACCCAGAAACCCCCTTCGATTTCATCAAGATCCCTGCGTGTTGCGATTACTCAGTTGTTGGCGTTTCGATTAGTGAAACGGAGCGGGTTGATTCTACTCCAAAGTGCCCCTCAAGGCGTCGAGCATGACGATGTCAAACATGATCTAGAGCAGGTAAGTAATCCGGTCTTCGTGACCAACCCGTAAACTACTTGTTGCTGGTACTATCGAGGTTGCAGATCCCTGGAATTGCCGCTGTCCATGAACTTCACATATGGCGCCTGAACCAGAAGAAGTCTCTCGCCTCCACACACCTTGTCCTCGATGAGACCAGTGATGAAACTGATTTCAATAAGCTGGCTAAGACGGTGAATGAGTGTTTTCACGCTTATGGTATCCACTCGGTGACCCTTCAGCCAGAGACCATTCCAGGCCGCAAGGGAAATGAAGTGGTTGGGGTGGCGAATCATCGAGATGGAAGGGTAAGCCTAGCGACAAATTGCCAGCTAATCTGTGGGAAACTTTGTGAGGATCTATCATGCTGCCAATGAGTTGTCTCTACGGGGAAGACTCATGTGAAATCACGGGCTGTACAAAAGAAGGATGGAAATAATTGAGTAAATTTCCGGCGAGGCATCTATTCGCTCAGTCTATGTGCCAGCTTAATATCGAGGTAAAGCCTCCGTTGGGGCTAGAATACAATGGCTTTTTATTCAAGAAATGACATAGCATTGGTCTATGCCATCATTAAGACTGGACGTTGAGGAGTATGCCGTCCACTGAAGACGCAACCGATAGTTGGTCACTATTTCGCTTCATATCTATATTACTATTGCTTTAAAACCATAAGCAAATGACAGAGCATTCGAGACATAATCTCAACACAAATAGCGCTATTTCAGGTACAAAATATAACAAGACCAGGGTTGTAACAAGAGCGAAACTCTCAGCTGTTGAAGGTTCAGTCATTGCTGACTTACATTTCAGTCCCCATTTCGATCCAATGGATAAAGTTTCCAAGTAACAACTGGTAGGTCTGAAAACCGACATGACGAAGCTAAACTGGTAACCACGATAAATCGTGAATAGCTTCTTACTCATGAAATGGAAAGGTTTTGTTGTCAAACATCAACAAAACGTTGGCCTCTCCACGCCACAGGGATTATATCTATGTTAGGACTTTCGTCATCAGCATCCTTTTCAAGAATCATCTGAAAACTTGCCCTTCTTCACAAAGGCCAGTATTTACACTGCCCCGCCCCACTCAAGTCTAGGGCTAGGTGTACGTAAGGGAGAAACGGATTGTCAGAGAATCCTGTTACCCTGCTTCTCACAACGTGCTGTGCACCAGAGTTGAGTCCACATTCCTCGGAAACATACCTTCCATGTAAGGCAGTCTGTACTCTCCGGGTTTTCGATATTATATGCTCGGCAGATCAGAGTTTCAGATAGGCATCCTTTTGACAATGCACCGAGACCAGGATGCACACACTGTCGGGAATACCATTCAGTGGTTCACATGACGATCCATTTTATTTTATTTTTCCAGTGTTTCTATTATATCACTACATTTGAGGTTAGTGCAAGGCTAATTCTTCATCCGATTATAGGTCTGACACCCTAGTCTTGCATTCTTGGATTGATACTATGGCAGTCACACAGATAAGCACTCCGTAGACTCGATAAGGACATGTCACCGCTGAGACCGGACTGCCGGATGAATGAGCTTCAGGTCAATCTCCAAAGTGTCCGGGGTATCTAGAACTTATGTAAAATTATCTTCTTGCCCCTTGTCTAACAAAATTGTGATAAATGTAAGTTACTGTCACCTCACGATTGTTTTCGTTGCACATCCACTAGGCTTCTGTTCAATCATTCCATTTCAAACTCCTTTTTAAATTCTTATTATATCCGTAAATCGGCATCAAACAATCCATGCTTCCGTTATGACCAGCTACCAGTTCAATCTCGGATCTTACCGTCGCGCGAGATCCACCGCTCTCAGATATTGATAAGTACTTCGACACCCCTCCGATCAGCGTCGCAGGTACAACCGGCCAGAGCTGGCTCTGTAATTGGTGGAAGATGCACAAAGGCGAGTATCCGCTGATGGCAGCAGCAGCCAGGGACTATCTAGCGATTCCTGCTTCTGAAGTTGCTGTTGAGAGAGTCTTTAGTACAGCGAGGGATGTGCTAGGCATCCGGAGATATTCTTTGAAAGGGGATACCTTAAGAATGCTGATGTTGATTCGCGATGGGTATAAGTGGCATCGACAAATTCAAAAGCAGCTGATATCGTATCGTCAATATCGGTATATCGGCAATATCGTCAACAGCCCTAGCTATGTGGAGCACCGTTCGACCATGTTTGTGTTTAGTGTCCACTCTGGCGGTGAGGTGATCTAGCATGCTCTTGACGATGGAGGAATTTCCATAGTGGATGGTATACCTAGACGTCGGCAAAACCCAACCCGGAACACCTCTATTGAGCCCAAAGCCCAGCCCAGCTGTTACCCGGAACACCCCTACTAAGCCCAAGCCCAGCCCAGAACCCAGTTGGGTAACCCAGGTTGTTTCGTAGCACAATCTTCCCAACTAGGATACGCCAAGGTTCTAGATGTCATATTCGGAGACACGGGGTGAATAAAGGAAGGGATTATCAAAGAAAGTGTTGTGATATGAGGCTGGTGTAGATCAGGAACATAGCCGCACCATCGGAATTAATTCCCGAGGCGTCTATACGAGGAAGCAAGTCGATTGGAAATCAACTTGGAGCTCATGCTGTATATATAGCCTCACGTATTCCCTCTGGAAGAATAATCAATATTATACCTCTGAATTACAACAGAAAGTAGAGTGAACTGCAATATGGATGTTGAGGCTTGGTTGGCTCGCCCCTTATATATCTATAGGGGTCGGCACGAATACGAATAAACAAAGCTTCATGTTGAATATCACGGTGGCCGAAGCTTATGGCAGGAATTAGGAACGGATATATAAAAGACGGACTGCTCCTCTTCTGTAAATAGCAATCCTTTAAGCAATTGATTGACTTGTTGTATTCTATTTTACAGGGGCGGGGTGCCTCATATATATCTGTTCCCAATCCCTGCCATAAGGTTCAGCCACCATGATACCCAACACAGCCACCGTGATACTCAACAACTTCACTGCTTATTAATATTCGTGGATCTTTGGTCGCGGTTGGGAACGCCCTGAGCCGCTAGTTTTCGTCAAAAATATATGCCTTGCAGCGGGATTAACGTTCAACCAATCTCCACCATTGATTGACAACATAAAAAATAGGATAGACCCAAAAGATTTATGACCTCTCACGACTAGTTACGAATACGAATATGGAAAATCCTTATTCGTGCCAACCCCTATATATCTAGACTTGGGTAAGAGTGTTGAAAGAGTATCTAGGTATCCTTTCCCATGCGCGGCAGTCCCCCTTGGCTCTAAAATGATGCTCACTTCCGGCGAACACGCCGATCTGGTTGGCAAATCGCCTATTAAATGGAAGTATCGGCTCTCATTGGCTACATGACATCCGAGAGCCCCGCATCATACTGGGGCTGGGTCTACATAACGTGACACGAATTTTTAAAGAACTTGGCTGGTGTAACCCGTTTGACCTACCTCTATTCTGAAGTAGAAAGTTTGGTCTTTAAACATTCAGAAACACAAAACACAGCGCGACTACCATCCATTGAATACCTCAAAATCAATAAAAATATTTTTCTTAATCCAGCATCCTCAGAAGGCCCGGCGAGCCCTTAGGGATGCTCCATTATTTCTTTAGAATCCACCATTTCTAGATTAAAAGCGACTTTCCCCCCCTTCCCTCTCTCCCTTTGGTCCCCTCAAACGACATCGCTGCCATAAACCCAGTTATCCGCATAGCAACGCCAGCAATCCCTTTGATACATTAGCGATTCACTAGTTCCAACTGTGTCTTCGTGATGTCAAACCGGAAAAACTACACTGTCGGTTGGATTTGCGCCATCACCACTGAATATGTGTTACGGACATGCTAGTCACCAATCAGTTGCGGGGACCGCAACTACCGATGGGCCACCGAGAGCCAACCGATCTATCTGTCATCAGGTCACGTGCAACATCCTATACTCTGGGATGCCCGGGCATTCAGGAAAAGAGAAACCGTGATCATGCTCAGTGAGCAAGAGCATGATCAGCCCTGAGCAGGACCCACTTCCAGAGGATATCCGGTACATATGTACCTATATGGAACAGCAAACCTCTGCCGCCAAAGGGAGCCAGAACCGGCCTCCCACTAGCCGTCCCGAAGTATACTCCATTTGACGATACTACGGTTAGCCGTCACGTGATCATGCAAGCAGTAGAACGGTCGACGGTAAAAGTAGTAGAGGGATTCTACCATTCTGCTATCTACCATTCTACACAGGAAGAACTCAGGGATATATAAGGACACTCATTCATGTATCTAGTTTAGTTCTTCGTCTTCAATCATACATTGTTACTTGTGTATACCTTTGGAACTTCAGAGACTCTTTACCTTGATTATAACTTGACAACCACTACGACTAGACCAATACTTCGGTATAGATCTATTCGGCGCTCTACCTGGCATCGTTCCTCGATACCCTCAAAAGGACTTAGCCCGTATAAGGCCTGTTAGGCAGCGGTACAGTTGAGAGACAGATCGTTGACAGTTGGCAGTCTGCAGGACATCAGAGAAGTATCTGCCGATTCTAACCAACCTAACTGTGACCAGTTAGCTGTGCGTAACAATATGTTGCCGGTCAAGCGTTCCTCGACGAAAAGCATGACTGCCCAGTGTATCTGCTATCTGCCGTCCTATAACAAAACCGACTACACATTAGGAAGAGTTGGCAAGCACAATGGGGTTATTTCTGTTTTGCCCGTGGGAGAATACGGCACGAGCTCGGCAGGTCGGGTGGTAGAAGATATGATGTATAGCTTTCCGAATATCCGCATCGGGCTCATGGTCGGCATCGATGGCAGCGCGCCAAGCCGGAAGCATGACATCCGCCTTGGAGATATCGTGATTAGCATTCCCCCCGATACGTGCATACTGAAATAATGCACACTGAAATAGAAGGTTCTTGCAATATTATTACGGTCTTGGTCTAGGTTATCACTTTACTAGCCAAGACCAAGACCATGCCGCAGTCTATGCAGAATATTCATTCGATAAATCTAGTCATCTGAAGCTACCCAGCATCAGAGCGACTGGAGAAAGATACACGAACAATGTAAGTTTATTGCAACAAGCCCATGCTTCTCCATATTAAACTATATTACAGATGGATATTGCCCCCAAAACGTCGATCAACATACTTCACACTCTGTTGACAATGAAAACCTAGGTCTTGTCGTCGTTGACCTGATCAAAGTGAAGGGCATTGGCCATGCCTCATCCAACGGGTGAAGAAATGAAGGTTCGGGTGTTTCATTGATCACCTTGTTATTTTCTGCTTCATTTACAATAATGGATCCATGACAGGCCAGAACAAAGAAGCGCCTAAGGCGAACGGATCACGTTCAAGGATTGCACCAGAGTTGAATGTCCAGGCCTTTTCGCATACATCGGTTAGGATGCACGAAACCAGAAAGAAGAATGATGGATCCTAGCTTACCAAAAGATCATCGTTAGAAGATACCAATGGTCTCGGAGATTGCCCCTGTGCTACATTTCCCATTTCTAATGGTGACGGGGTTTGCATCGCGTGTACGGGCGGTGATTGTCGCAAGGAAGAGAGGTCCTTGAACCACATGATACCGTCAGCTCACTGTTTGCCTCGTTGAAGATCAAGAGTTGCATGATTCAAAGCGTACAGTTAAAGTAGATGAGCCATGAAAAGAGAGATCACTACCATCAGCCATCAATAGCTCTCGACAGAGACGAGAGGCTGTCGGACAAGCATCTTCCAGGGATATGATTTCGAGATGTTCATCGCCGGGTAACAAATGGCGGTTGGTCAACAACAACTGGTTCTTGGCAGAGGTAAAAACCATGTGAAGGAACATAAACGCCTTGCAAGCCTGCTTTTCCGTCCGGACCTTTAGCTCAAAGTACTTGATGGCCTTTTCCACCGTTTTGATGAGAGCGACGCGTTGGTGAAGTGTGATCTGTTCCAGTAGCCCCGGGGCACTGCCTGCCAAGGAACGTAATGATTTATCTTGGGCCTGTAGGCGAAGCTCGAAGCAAATTGTTACAGCGGCGTGGAATATGTCGTCTCGAAACATCCCACCTTTAAGGAAAGGTAGAGAAGGTTTAAAAGAATGACTCCAATGAGCAGGGCCAGCATCGAGATCCTCGAGAAATGACTTCAGTGGATCCAACAAAGCCATACTGGCTTCAACGCATATCTTTCGTGAATACAAGTACATGTCATTTCGCTTCTCTTCGAGATCAAGAAAGAATGGTCTGTGAAGAGCGAGGAGTGAGCGGTAGACGAGGAAACTTGAAAGCGATTGTTGGAAGGACCACTTAAATTCTTGCGTTGGGTTTTGCTCAAGGCCGCTGTTCTGGGACGTCGGCATATTGTTGGAAAGTGCCATAGTGAGTGATTCACTGAGATCAAGCATCTCCTTATAATCCAAAGTAAATCGCACACGATTGACGACCTTTGCAATTTGAAACCGGGTGGATAGACTTTGGGCAAGAATTATCTGGAAAGAGGTCCTCGTAAAAACAGTGAGTGGCTGTGATTGAGGGCTGGAAGACAAACTCGTCGTCACACACTCATCATCGACATTGGATGGCAAGCAACAATCAAACTCATCTTCCGAAATTGCCAAAGGCGTTCCATTGGAAAGCGCTGCTTGGAGTTCAAGTTCAACAACAGTCAACCAAAGTCTTTTGCGTATTTCTGCCCAGTAATGAGAAACCCCCGGAAAGTTCGAAGGGTCCCGATGAAGCCCCATCGTAACAGCATCACGTAGCAAAGATCCTGTTGACAACCAAGCAAGGTCTCCTTCATAGCCAATAGAATGTCGAGCAAGCAGCAACAGGCACTTTGTTTGGATGATGTCTAGGCGGAGTCGATTGTAGCTGGTCATAGATTTGATCCACAGCACGACAGCCTGGATCCAACTCTTGGCCTTTTGATTCAAAGAACGGTGGCTCATCTCCGAGACAGCAGCTAACTCCCCATAGAAGCAGCTTGCGGATGACATCAATGCCAGAAGCTTCGCCGAAAACACTTCACTAGAAAAAGCATCACCAGGATGCTTCCCACCACATCTCCAATACTCGTCAAGCTCTGCCAGAAAATGAGGAACATGCAGTACACGAAATGTGCCTTCGAAGGAAGAAAAGTACAAGTTGACCAAATGATCAGTAATGCCCCGCGCAGGTATCATATCCTCTAACTTGGTTGGTTGTAAGGATTGGTCGATCTGGGTGTGAAATATTTCGTCTCGCCTCATGGCTTGCTTCATTCGTCTTGTTGATAAATATTCCCGAAACTCTGATGAAATGTCCTCCTTTTTGACTTGATATTGCTGCAAGTGAGCTGTCAGGTCCGGGAACTGTTCACATTCTAGTTAGCAGTTAGCACATCCATCCACACAAGAAGTTAATCTCACCATATCAAGAGTCAAAGCCCAGTGGCTTCGGCCAAAGAACCTAGTCCTGTCATTCGTGCCACCAAAGGAAGATTGCGAGAGTCTCTGAACAGGGGTACCCAAACTTGATTCCCTCTTTTCAAAAAATTGATTACACGGGTTGGTGATGTTATCATCATCTGGTAGAGTTCGTAATGAAGGAACCGAGGACTCATCCACCGTGGCATTTTGAACCGGAGACAAAGTACTGTCATTTCTGGGTGGAAGAACCGGATTGACTGATGGGGATGGTGAGGTCGTGTAATGGCAAGTGTCGGCCATGTCAGCCTTCATACACTGCGCGCAGGGCACCAGGCGGTCGCATTTAATTTTGCGCCTCCTGCATGTCGTACAAGAGAGCGGAGCCCTGTGCTTTCGGGGGTGAGCGGCTTTCTGTCGGTTGACTCGCATTATACTCCTCCTAGAGTTCTGCAATTCATGCACGGAGTCCATAACGGAGATTCACGGGTTATGGGAGTTGACAAAATCTCTGGGGGTTTCTTTCGAAGGAGTGGAAACCGGGCGCATTCCTGACGTAGGGTACACCGCCACGCATACCGCCCACGATTTAGGTCACCGCCCCTAGTGCTGATGCTCCGTTTTCCTCGCCGTACATCTAATATATCTCTCAAATACCAAATACCTTCCAGAAAAGGGGGGGGGGGGGGGTATAGTTCAAAATAACGGTTGATCGATAGTTCTAAAAAACTGCGGTCATACATCCAATATCCAATATGTGCACTGTACTACTTGGCCAATACTGTTTCTACCTTGCCAAGTAGGAACTTTTAGTTATTTAGTTATTTCAGTTCGCTTTGGGAATTAAACCGTTTTCACAATCGCTGCTTTGGGTATAAGCAAGGGATACAGGAGCTGAAGGAGGAATGGTATGGGTAATTCCTGGAACATAAACGAATGAGGAAAGTGATTATTCCGAGGCTCATCTCCGTAATCGCCGAAGATGGGGGAACATGGGGGACCGACGAGTGGAGAATGTACCCACCTGGCAGCTTAGCGCCAAGGCCCTGCATCTGCAAAGGCTCTCTTATAGCATGTGTATGATGGTTGTATTGTTATGGAGTTCTATGGGTCATGACCCAGTATTACAGATACAGGTCTAATAACCCTAATGCATGAGTAGTGCGTATCAGGGTGACATGACAATACCATCAGTACAGTGGATCCAACAGGCTCCTACAATATTTAAGCATCCATGAAATGTATTCATGGCGCCAAACGCCCAATGAGCTGCTTACTGAAACCTATGTGAAGCCCACATTGTCAGGAAAGCAAATGGGATGTTTGGCTGTTCTTTTACGAATATGACTCTATTCGCGCGTTCTGCGGGCCTTAGCAATGAGAATCATCAATAATAATAAAATAAAATAAAAACGCAGTAAAGGCGCATTGCCGTCGAGATTCGGAGTTGCCGGAAACAATACCGGAGCGGTGCTATCACCCCTACAGCAGAAACACCTCACTGCAATGATGCATGGATGAAGAGCCTTATAAGAATTCATACGCCCCCCCTAATTACATAAATAGAGGGCAGGATCTTTAGAAGCTACCCGTGTACAAATCCCGAAAAAGTCTTCTCACATTCTCATTCCGCCCACCCTCTCTCTCCTGCCAGCGACGTTGAAATACCTCCTTGCAATGTCTCCCAACGAATACAAGTTCAATATCCAGATGGGCTGCGGCGGCTGCTCGAGCGCCCTTGAGGATGCTCTGAAGGATGTTAAGGGTGGGCTTGGCGGTTTATGTCTGGTTCTTGTGGATCTTAGGGCTGATCAGGTTGACGAACAGGAATCGAGTATTTTGACGTCAGTCTCGAGCAGAAGACTGTTTTGGTCAATGCGCAATCTTCGCTCTCATATGAAGCCGTGCTCGCCATTCTCAAGGAGACAGGCAAGACCATTCAGAGCGGTGAAGCAAACGGCCAAGCTCGCGAGGTCTAGCAAGTGGTTTTTTCTTTCATGTTAGTCTGCTTTGATGGAGATAAGTGAAGGGTAATGCATGGATTCCAGAATAGTAATATCAAACTATCTAAATAATTGACCACTGTGCAATTATGTAAGACATGCCGACGAAGAGTAACTAGGTAACTAAGTAATAACTAACTATTTTACATTCACGTGAGATGTCTAATAAAGTCTAGCGGGCTTGCTGGCATCCTTCTCAGTTGGCATGATCTTGAGAACTGGTGAAATAGGGGAATAAGGAACGAGGTTATTCTTCAGATGTTCATCTCTGTCGCTCAACATGTGGGGACTTCGACGGACAGATAATGTAATATCCCCGCACCTGTTCTCCGCGCTGTTTGTGAAAAATGTGCGAACACGGAATTGTGACAGCTTCTCAACAGATCAACAGATGAGTTGCAAAGGTGGGACTAGATATAATCAAGAAAATTGAATTAAGGTTATGAGATTCCTGATTCCAAACCAACACCTACTATAGTAACAAACTAAGAACATAGTGAAGTAGCTGGCCCACATGGTCGGAATTTTCCGTGGTTCACTCTCTACCCCTTGGGAGGACAACTGACTTGCAGATTCAGTGGCAAGACTTCCCATACTTTCGTAATCGGAGATAGTTATAGGGCAGCGGGGCGAAATATCCGGCTGTGACCGACAGCACTGCTGCTAGCCAAAATTGTGGGTCCTCAAGAGCCACTACTCCTCCGGTAAGATGATAGTCAACTGTATTTTCGGCAGCCTCCATCGCTACCATCGAAACCATACTCATACCGGTCGCAGTCCGGGCTGCCATCGGCCACGAAAGCTTGTCGACTCCACGGCGGAGAAGAATCGTTTCGAGAATGATGGACGTCGTAATTCCGCATGCCACTGCATATGAATGTTACTCACAGAACATTCTGTGACGAGATAGAGGAAGGAAGAAAAGACTTACTCGATGCACCCATAATAGTGCCCATTCCAAGCTCTGGGTAGTAAGTTTGGAGGGTCCATAGTGCCGTAAAGTCCCCCAGTGTGCAGCCAACAAGGCAGCGTAATGTATTGATCCCCGCCCTCCTCCAAGTAGATCGACAGGCCCAGAAAGTGTGTTGCCAGACTGACGGAATTCTGGATTTGGCAGGGGCAGTGAGTGTGTTATTGGACTTGTGGTGGTTGGAATTTGGGCTGCGGAGAGCCTCTTCGTTCTGGTTGGAACGGCAGGCAAGCATAGGGGAGACGCCTGAAAAAGACCGCAGAGGCACTCCGACTAAAGCGAAGACTGGTCTTGAGGACCAAAACATCCGGTTGGTACTGTTCAAGGTGTATGTGTTTCAGTAACCCTTGGGGACCGCGACAAGCAGAACCACCGGAGTTTTTAATCCCTTGTACATGGACCCAGACACAAACGCACAATACGCGCAAACATGTTCATGTCTCCATTCCGGTCGGTCGAACCGGCCTTATTTCTATCCGGTTTTGGACAGACTAGTCGGAGTGTGATGTGACCACTGGCGTAAATCCCTCATCGATATTATTGCTCGGATTACAAATGGGGACTCAAATTATTATTACCAACGATAAACTGATAGAAATGTAGTCCTTTTTCTGTTAGCGTGCTAACTTAAGTCTCTTGCCTCTTCTCACTACATACCTCCATATCGTGACGAAAACGGCAACGAGTCTCGGTATACTTTCCAAGAAGCTCGTCATCAAAGAATAACAACAAGCTGGGCGTGTATCTGAGCTATTATGACGGATAATGTGCCAATTGATATCACCCATTCCCACCAGGATGATCTGGACCGAGAGAGTGCAAAACAGGAACAGAAGTTGCATCCGCAGTCGGCACTGGACGTCGATGAAGATGAGAAATATAAGCGCGATGTGGCCCCGGATGGTGGCTATGGCTGGGTCTGTGTCGCCTGTGTTTTCTGGATTAATGCGCATACCTGGGGCATTAATAGCGTGAGTCATAAATCTTCGCCTTTTCACCGTCATCTTACTAACAGGTCTAATATCCAGAGTTACGGAGTCTTTCTGAGCTATTACCTCTCAAAAGATGTATTCCCCAACACATCTGCCCTATCGTACGCCTTCACAGGTGGCTTGAGTATCTCATGTGCCCTTCTGGTGGCCCCGTTAGCCACTTGGATGATCCAAAAATGGGGTACACGACTTGTACTCAACCTGGGCATCTTCCTCGAAACCCTCTCTCTAATAGGGTCTTCATTCGCAACCCAGAAATGGCACATCTTCCTCAGCCAAGGCGTCTGTTTCGGCTGGGGCATGGGCTTCCTCTTCGTGGGCAGCGTCGGTATCACCCCGCAATGGTTTGACAAGCACCGTGGTGTAGCGATGGGCATCAACGCCGCCGGGTCTGGTCTCGGCGGCCTGATTTACTCCCTCGCAGTGGGCGCCATTATCCCGCGCTACGGGTTGGGCTGGGCGTTCCGCATTTTGGGTATCATTTCCTGTGTCGTGAACCTGTTCTGCTGTAACTTGCTCCGGGACCGCAACAAGGCCGTCGGCAGTAGATTCACGGCTTTCCATCTGCCCCTTCTGCGTCGCCCGGAGTTTTTGCTCTTCCTCGGGTGGGGTATGTTCAGTATGCTCGGCTATGTGGCGCTGCTGTTTAGCGTTGCCAACTTCGCTCTTTCCGTCGGCCTCTCGTCGAACCAGGGGAGTATTGTCTCTGCGCTGCTCAATCTCGGTCAGGGTCTCGGCCGTCCGTGTGTTGGCATGTTCAGTGACCGGCTTGGTCGCATCAATATTGCCACTTTCCTCACCTTCCTCTGCGGTCTATTCTGTCTCGCCATCTGGACTTCTGCTGAGAGTATGGGTTTGGTATGCTTCTTCGCCGTTTTGGTTGGCACTGTTGCAGGCACGTATTGGGCTACTGTTTCTCCCATTCTGGCGGAGATTATTGGTATCAGAGACCTCCCTTCCGGCTTAAGCATTACCTGGCTCACGCTTGTTGCCCCTTGCACTGTCTCCGAGGCTATCGCCCTTCACCTCCGCAGCCACAATATTGGTGGCGGGACTTCATATCTGCGCGTTCAGATATTTACTGGATTCATGTATTTTGGTGCTTTCTTGTGTTTGTGGTTCGTCCGTGGTTGGAAGGTCGGCGAGTTGGAGCGTGCTCAAGGACGCCGGGATTCTGTTGTCCAACCTGGCCCGTTGACTGGAACTCACGGCGGAAATGAGAAGCAAGACAGCCCTGCGACTATTTCCCCGGCCTTCGAGGCCACTGGAACAGATGCTTCGTTATGGGCCCCGGTCAGCTTGCTTCGCAGAATGATCACTTTGAAAAAGGTTTAAACATAACTGCATAGTGCAGAGTACAGACATGCCAGACAAAATGAACAAACAAAAATTGACAACCGCTTGTCATACATTTGATTTGAACGCCGTTTTGACACTAGATCTAATCCACATGGATGTAGCTTTTGGTTCATGCATCGGTAACCAGAATCCGGGCCCTTCTCTTGCCGGCGCCACGACCCTCTTCCTTGACGGAGCTGACATTGACACATACCTTCTGGAAGAGTTCAACAGTCACACTGTGTTCCTTCTCCGGGAGGCCCTTCTCTTCCACTTCTTTGCGTTTCACCCCGACAGAACTAAGTCTCTTCTGTTGCCTGGTATCCCATGGTCATCCTGTGTTTCTTAATATATTACCGGATTCGAAATAGCGTCACTCTGACGTACAGGAATAGGGACGCTAAGAGAATTGAGCGTACAAATTGGAAAAGACGGGCAATAGAAAGAAAAGCGAAGAATAACTAGGCAAAGATAGCGTCCAAAGAAACTGTTCATGAATGTTATTGAACTATAAAACATGAAATGATAGAATATGAACTGCAACGGTTATTTGGGGGTCGATCAAATGTGTGTTTTCAACGGAGAACAAACAAGAATAGACACAAAGCGAGTGGCAAGGCTGATAATGGTGAAAGCTTGAAGGTCAGCGGGCAAGAAAATATTTGCAACCGGTGATTGATTTACTGGGTTGTCCCAGAAATCCGAGTACAGCAATGGTCGAAAAGAATAATAGATGGATTAATTCATTATTAGGAATAGCTTCTTGTTAAACACGAAGAAGTAGGGTGTTCATTGGATATCATTAGCCAAACAGCAATCTCCACCCCAAATCACGCGCATTTCCTAATACCCAGGCAGGCACCCCCAAGTCTGCTGCAAGAACTGGTGACGCGCGCTCTCGCACGCCGATGCCCTGGAACGGGGAGAAACGGCGGAAAACAAGGAGAAGGTATTTGACACGTGACCTGCCAAATACCACCCATCCCAAACTTGGAAGATAATGTCGGAACGTGGTCGTTACAGTACGGACTAGTACGGGCATGGCCAATTGAGTACTTGAGAGTGTGTTTTTTATATATTATAGAAAGTGCAGAATAAATAGGGGATGAGCTTAGTAAGGTCGTTGAGAGCCTTAGGATCATCAGGCAGATGGGGGTGCTGAATATTCCGGGCGCACCAGTAAAATTGCGACCCTCTTTTGTTGACACCCTGTCTTATTTAATATCAATTACTCAGATATTTATATGCTAAATGACCCTTTTCTAAAAACAATTGTTCAAGCCTGCGCAGGCTTATCCGCATCGTTGCATTTTATCTGTAATGATCCTTGGCCACGAAACAGAAAGAAAACCTGACGTAAATACAATTTCTGATGCGGTTTCATAGAATATCCTATAGTAAACTCAAGGTCTTTCATGCGGACTAGCAGGAACAAAGCTGATTCCGGGAGCCTGGCTTTGGTGTTCCCTAAACTACTTGAGGGTAGTGACGGTATCTGAATCCTAATCTATGGCCAATAACAACTACCAGACGAGTAGTAAGGGTTGCAGCCTGCTATTGACCCGTACCATAGTTCTCAAGCACAAAGTCAACATCTTTGTCACCACGCCCCGAAAGATTGACCAGTATCCGTTCTGATGAAGGGCGCTGCGATGCCAATCGGATCGCGAACGCCACCGTATGCGCGCTTTCCAAAGCCGGGATTATTCCCTCGACTTTTGCCATTCGGAAAAAGGCACCGATTACCTCCTCATCAGAAATCGCTGCGACGGAAAGCTGACCAGTTTCATGAAGCATCGCAATCTCCGGCCCGATGCCCGGGTAGACGAGCCCCGATGCCACGGACGAGACGTTTGCAGTCGTACCGTCAGCTTACTGCAGCACAATCGATCGAGCACCATGCAACGTCCCCGGTCTGCCGTAGGACAACGTCGCCGCGTGTTGGCCCAGTTCATCGGATTTGCCCAGCGGCTCTACTGCGTGCAAAATAACATCTGGGTCGTCAAGAAAGCCTGAATACATACCCATTGCATTGGAGCCACTAGCAACGCAGGCAACAACATGCTCGGGCAAGCTACCATTCGTGATGGAAAGAAATTGTTCGCGGGCCTCTTGGCCAATGACACTCTGGAAGTCCCGAACAATCAGGGGGAAGGGGTGTGGGCCAATAGCAGATCCGATAGCATAGAGAGCATACGCATGCTGCTCTACGTACGCGTTGAAAGCCGAGTCGCTAGCCTCCTTTAGGGCAGACTGGCCAGTGGTCGCTGGCACTACGCGTGCGCCGAGCAACTGCATGCGCCCAACGTTCGATCTCTGTTTACTGATATCGATCTCGCCCATGTGGATCTCGCATTTAAGACCAAAATAAGCAGCTGCAGTTGCGAGTGCGACGCCATATTGGCTAGCGCCGGTCTCGGCAATCAGCTTCGTCTTGCCCAATTTCTTGGCGAGAAGTGCGAAGCCAACACAATGGTTGATTTTGTGCGCACCTGTGTGATTTAGGTCTTCTCGTTTGATGAAGATCTGAGCGCCTCCGACCTCCTTCGAGAGATTTTCGAGATAATGGATCGGTGTTGGCCGCCCTTGAAGCCCGGTGCGCACCTTCTTGAGATCGCGCTGGAATTCTGGGGATTGACACAGTTCCTGGTAAGTGGTGGCCAATTCTTCTAGGGCTGGCCGAACCCCAGGTGGATAGTGATTGCCACCAAACTGGCCGAAATAACCTTCGGCATCAGGGTAGCTTTGGGAATGGGAATCCTTGACGCTCGACATTGTGACTAGTCCTCTGGGAAGAAGAGCAGCGATGATGATTATTACGGTTGGTCGCTATCGAGACAGATCACTAACTCAGCATCTAACTGAGCCTGATGACCATCGCGACAAACTGGACCTAGGGGAACGACACGTGTTCTGGCCAAGACGATGTAAACCCCGGGGGCCGGGGCTGCAACCGCATATGAGTCACGATTGTGCATCTTTCTACTCCGTAAGCAGTTGTGCAAAGCTACTTACGCCCATGTATGTCTGCTATTCCGTACGAATTGATGGCCCAATCAGCATGCGAGCCCTGAGAGGGGGTGTGTCGGTCGCGACTCGCGCGACGCTAGAGCGGCGCTTATGATACCACCCCGTTTCTTTCATTTTCTCTGCTCCTGTACTGGGCTCTTGGGAAATGAGCACTGAACAAAAAGCCCAGTCTCAGAGCTCGCGAAACGAAACTAACAAAGGAGCTGCAGAGTGAACATGTGGTCGACAAGCCCGCTTAAATTGTCCGATCGCGGTGGGGCTGGGAAGCCGAGCCTCAATCAGTTTAGGGCTTATGCTTTACAATATGGATGGATGGATGGATGGATGGATGGATGATTTCATTCATCCCGACCCCTCGCAAAGTTGGATTCTAAACCATAAACCACTAGGCCGAGTACGGATTCGTATTTTAGTCTAGTTGGGAAATCAACTCGCAAAGCGATATGCAGGCTACACACACACACACAATTTATTAACGCCCGGCGGCTAAGCCGAAAGGGCAACTATCTCTGATCTACTATACATGTCATAATATATATAGTGCTGTGTCTCCTTAGAGCCCATACATAAAGCCTTGCAATATATGTCATCTCAGATGTCCGTATCGCAGCGGATCCTCGTGGGTTAGTAATTTTGTTAGTAGGCTGGCTTGAAGGCGCTTCTCCAAGTGTTCAACATCCTATTTTCGGCAGTTGAAGCGCGTCTACCGTCTGTAACACGAGGTGGTTGGTGGGTTAGATCGGCGAAAGGGGGGTGATTTATGTCCGTCGGCGTGGTTAGGTGGCCTCGAGTCGGCCCGTGGCGATGGCGAATCGTATTGAGGCCCGTACCGCCTCTAAGTTTGGCGTCCACTTCTGATCATCGGAAGGCGACTTTCCTCCTAGGAAGAAGGATATATTTCCTCGGTGGGTGTTGGTACATTGTAGTAGTTCCGTCCGGTGCGCCGTCCATTTTTGACATCGAAATAGGAAGTGCTCCACGGTCTCTCTCGCTTGTCCACACGCACACTGGTCCGTGTCTGCTACGTTGATTCGATAGAGATATCCATTGAGTCTTGCCATGCCGGTTCGGAGTTGAGCCAGCACGCTCGCTTCTTTCCACGATAATCGGTCATACAGCTGCCGGGTGTGTTTGCCTGGGAGTGCTGCATCAACGCCTATAGTTACAGTGCGTCCCGAAAGTGGTGCAACCGCCAACACTCTTCCAGCGATTCTCTAGCCCCACTGCCAAGATACACTAGACCACATTAAGTATAATCCAGGAATATCAATATTCCCGTAACATTCTCGATACCGTGATTTACGTTGATTGAAATACGGTGTCTTGTCTCGTACAGGAGAGTGAAATCATTTACCCTGACCCCTCGCGAGTTGGATCCCAGGTCACGTGATGTATATAGATCTATAGGAGTAGCTGCCTATTAGGCAGACACTCCGCTAGGCAGCAGGGAGATGAGCTGCTGCAACTAAAAATAGCTGGATCTCTTCATATAGATGAATAATCACACTTGTACCTTAATCCAGGGTTCAACTTCGCGAACGATATGCAGGATACGACTACTATATATATCCGTGTACGTACATGTAGAGTGTTCCACTTCCTGAAAACGAACTTAGAGCCTCGTCAAGGCCTGTCGTGGCCTAACTGCCATTCCCATTGTTAGGCTGCCCGGGTGGCGCGCGACTCCGAAACCGCTGTGACGCCTCGGCGAAGTCCAGCACGGCATTGACCGTCCTGGCTCGCGAGACGGTGTCTGGTTTACCTTTCTCACCTTGTTTTGTGCCTCCCAGCAGGCTCGACACGCTATTAAACGCGTCTCCAACTTCTCTCCTTAACTCTCTCCGAGGTTCCCTCAAGTTCGGGCAATCCACCAGCACATGGGTGACTGTTTCTTGTGCGCCGCATGCGCACTGGTCGTCGTCACTATAACCAACATTCTTGCGGTAGCTGGATAACCAGTTGTGGCCCGTGCGCAACTGCGTCAAGAGGTACGCGCGGTTTCTTGGCAGGTTCCCGTATAGCCTCCTAGTGTAGCTTGCTGGCAGGGTGTTATCGATCTTTCGTAAGTGACCACCCTTGGTGGATGATTTCCATTCCTGTTCCCACCGAGAGTAGATGTTCCGACGGATCAACGCCCTCTCTCTGGTGAGGAGCGGGCGGAAAGGATGGGTTTTGCCTGGGCTGGCGGCGTCCTTTGCTAATCGATCTGCAGCGTCGTTTCCAGGATTGTCACAATGCCCTGCCAACCATTGAAGGCGGAGTGTGATTCCCACCGCTAGAACCTCGGCACCAGCCTGGAGGATTGCGTGAACGATGCGTTGTCCTGATATGTTTCTCGCGCTTTGAACCGCCTGCAAGGCGGACCTGCTGTCGCACAGGATCGTCGCTGTCAGTTGCCTGTCTGCTGTTCTCAAGTGTTGGTGGGCGATCTTGAACACTACACTGATCGCGTAGAAGATGCCTATGAGCTCCGCTACGTGGACAGACCAGCGGCTCATCGGTCCTACTTGGACCTGCTGCGCCTCGAGTATCTCTTGGTTGTTGTCGAGAGCTACAGCGGCAGCGCCTAGGTGGTCCTGTCGACCAGAGGCGTCGGAATAGACCACAACGTCGGATGTTGAGCGAGTGGTCTCGGCCTTCTGTGCCGCTGTCTCGCGATCAGACCCGATCTCAATCTCAGCAAAGGGATCGAGACGCCATGGTGGTAGTGGTCGGGGATCGATGGTTTCCAATTCGTTTAGCCTTTTGATATTCATGGTCTTCATCGCTTCCGCGAGCGGGAAGCGGGCGTACGAGTCGATATTATTCCTGCGTTTCTGGGCTCGTGAGAGCGCACTCCAGATGGGGTGATCCCGTGGTAGAGTGTGGAGGCTAGCGATAGTTCTCTGGGCTCGGTGGCGGAGACGCAGGTAGGTGGGGAGAACGTGTGCTTCCACTTCCAAGGTCGTGGTGGCCACTGTTCTGAATGCTGACAGGATCCGGATCAGCGAGGTCCTTTGTATCGTGTTCAGCTGTCGGAGGTGTGTCTTGTCTCGCAGTGGGTCATGCCAGACCGTTGACGCATAGTCTACTACTGGTGTTACACATGCCTGGTAGAGTTGTCGCATCTGCTCTGGGCGAAGGTGTCGCAGTCCGTTCAAGGCAATAGTGACTTTGGTTGCGCGTTTGATAGCTTGTTGCACATGCTACTTCCATCTCAGCTCCTGGTCGAAGATCACGCCTAGCAGCTTAGCCATGGGCGATGGCTTGACGATCGTGCCATCCACGATAATATGGCCCTGCAAGTGTTCTCCTCTTTTTCGGGTCAGGTGAATGAGTTCGGTCTTCTCGGCTGCGAAGCAGGACCCAGTTCGCCGCGCCCACGCTTCGATGCGGGGGATGTCTTCGGACTGTATCTTGGCTAGGTTCTCCTCTGCCGAGCGTCCTACTCGCCAGCGGAAGTAGTCGTCGATAAAGGCTGATGCACCACCGTGAAAGGTGACAGGTTGATCGACTAGATCGGAGTTGAAGAATGTGAACAGAATTGGGGAGAGAGGTGAACCCTGTGCGAGTCCAGCGTTCGCTAGTGCTGCTAACTCTGTGCGGAAGTCGTCGAATCCTATGCTAGCATAGCGGTCGCTCATAAAACTTGCGATCCATTTTCTTGCGACTGCGGGGATCCTCCTAGCCCGTAGGCAAGCATCTAAACTCGTTTGGTTGACCCCGTTAAAAGCTCCTTTTAGGTCGAATGAAACGAGAGTAACCACTTTGTTTTTGTACCACGCCCGGTCGATCGCGTTCAAGAGTATCAGCAAAGCTTGTTCAGTGGTTCTTCCCGGGCGCCCACCAAATTGGGTGTCCGGTAGCAGGGCCGAACCAAGCAAAGTACCTGGAGAGTACCTAACCGGCCCTTACATTTTTTACCAAAATTACAGACCCTCGCATAGCGAGGGTCTGTAATTTTGGTAAAAAATGTAAGGGCCGGTTAGATGTCAAAGTTTTCGATCTTTTTAGCACGACCACACATCGGTATCTACACACAACACATCTAATTGGGCTTGAATTTGCGGGAATGGAATTTGGCATCGAGTGGAACATCAAGGATCCAACGTCGAAGGATCACTGTTGGAAGGCAAGTCACGGAATTCCTTACATTGAGGCTGCTAGCCCTCGCGACACCAAGGTAGCCGTGAAAGACCGTTGGCGTCATCAAAAACCCCAAAGCCTGGTATTTTACCCCGTGTACCCGGATTGGGATCCACAGTCAACGGTTTCTATCCCTATCAGCTCGTCCTGAACTCTTGCGTTTTGTCGCAACAGGCGTGTTGTTGGTTGGTCAGTTGTTAATGGTAATGAACGAGTACTGTAATATAACTATAATCTTACGTTGATATAGAGATACGGAGCCAGAGGCAAGTAGATTCCAAGGCCGCGGTCTCAAGGCCTTGCAGGCCATCAGATTGCCAGCTGGTGTCCCCGACAATTCCACGGCCCGCTTAGCCACGGGCCTCAGAGCTACAGATCCCTGATGGCTCAAGCCCTGATACAAGCCTTTAGAACCAATTAAAGCGCTGTGAGTGTCTCATGTATACATAGAGGTAGATACCGCTTGGAGATAAGCAATCAAAATTAAGAACTACTATAGTTGACTCCAGATTCAAGACGTAGCACGAAGAAGCAAAAGAAAGGCACAATAGCTTCCTCGCATTCAGGGAAACCCAGATACATTATGTGGGTCCACCATTGCATTCATCCTCCAATAATCG